GTTGGGTTAGATTGGTCGGGTTGATCGAGTTGAGATTTTCGGTACATCATTTTACAATCTAACTAAGTGTTTATGTTTAAACGAAATAAAATCAAAATGATAACATACAAAAAGACTATCAAACTCAAAAAAAAAGTTGAAGGTTCATGCAAATAAGAAAGTAAAATTACGTTCAAATTATAATATAATTCTACATATAGCTAATTATGGATTGGTTTAATGTCTAATCTATATATCTATATATATCTATAAAACAGAATCATGATAGGTTGACGTGACATCTCATCGACGCAAAGATCTTATTTTCCTCTTTTTTCCACATTTTGGCTTTTTTTTTTCTTAGTAAATTTGCAAATTAATGTTCACATTTAACTCAAAAACTCTTCCATTTCTCTTGGTACGTTTCAACTTCAATCTTTAAATCCCTCAATCTTTGGTTTTTCCTTAATAATTTTGCAAATTAATGTTCACATTTAACTCAAAAACTCTTCCATTTCTCTTCGAACGTTTCAACTTCAATCTTGAAATCCTTCAATCTTTGGTTTTTTTTTATTTATGTGTTCTCCATCTCCATGTACGAGCTTTAAACTACTGGTACGCTATCCCCTCTTCTTTTCCGTCTCTCGTCTATGGTAGAAGTGTATACACGAGTTTATCAATATATGTAAGAAGACACTGGAACTTGGATTAAGGAGAAGTCTCCATTGAGGCTTTAGAATTTTGTGAGAATTTTGATTATTTTTGTTTTTGTTGTAGATTCGCTTTTGTTTTTATGTTTTTTAATTTGTAATTTTATAAGAAAAAACATCAACAATAAAGTGACATTTTTAGGCATCGCAATCTAATTTTCTTTTTCTTGAACTTTGCTTTTTTTTTTATTGATGTAATTATTATCAATACATTAAATTAATTAGACTATTCATTTTCGTTGGTTACACCCAATTTCTTTTGTTCGTTTATCCCATGTAACTCTATTTGTCATTTACATAACAATAATTGAACACACACACACACACATATATATGTGTGTATTCAATATATATAATCAAAATATCTGTAAACTCATTTATATGAATGAAATTATGATCAATGTATGTGTATTTTTATTTACATACTTGAATATTATATATATATATATAGGGGTTGGTTTAAATACTAACCAAGATTTTTGTATTAACTTTGTTAACCAAGCTCAACCAATCATATTCCATATTTTCTTTAGGTTCATATATAACTCATATATTAATGACAAAGATAATTAAGTAATTTGTCATTTATGTAATTCCCAAATCATTAATTGGGAGTCACAAATCTAAAAAACTCAATAATTGATGATTATGTAATATTAATATTTTTTTATACGTGTTCATGTTTTGTAATTTCGATTTATTCTATCCATAATGATATTGATTTTGTAATTGTTAAAAAAAATTCGATTGTAAAGATTTCAATATCGTCCGAGTAATATGGATAAACCTATTGGAAAACAGATCGACAACAATGAGAATGAAAATGTTAAAATCGTCTACGACTACAATCGGAATTTGAATTCATATGTAATTGTTAAAGAATTGTTCACAAGTGTTCATATTGTAATTGTTAAAGAATTGTTCACAAGTGTTCATATTGTGTTCATATGTACACTAACTGCATATCTCAACATTGGCTTGCTCCTGAATGTGTTCATAATGAAAAAACTATTGTTCACAAACTGTTCATATTGTGTTCATATGTACACTAGCTGTATATCGCAACATTGGCTTGCTCCTTAATGTGTTCATAATGAAGGAACTATTGTTCACAAACTGTTCATATTGTGTTCATACCTGTTTTTTCATATATTTACTTTCGTATAACAACTATTATTATTATATTCATATTGTGTTCATATATATGTCA